GGTTTACGCCATTCTCCTGGCTCAGCCTCCCGAGTAGCTGGGACTACAGGCGCCTGCCACCTCGCCCGGCTAGTTTTTTGTATTTTTTACTAGAGACGGTGTTTCACCGTGTTAACCAGGATGGTCTCGATCTCCCGACCTTGTGATCCGCCCGTCTCGGCCTCCCAAAGTGCTGGGATTACAGGCTTGAGCCACCGCGCCCGGCCTCATGTGGAGCTTTGATTCTAGCGGTGGGGACAGGTAGACAGCAGAAGAGTAAGCCTGTGAGCTGACGAGACTGAAGAGAAGTAGAGCAGAGCGAGGAGGTGGAGACAGAGCCGAGTGGGCAGGGCCCAAGTGCGATGTCGGCAGGAGATGGGGAACGCTGATGGGTCTGAGCGGAGCCCTAGCAGGTGCAGCAGAGCAAGGGAGGAGGCTGGGGGCCGACTCCTGGGCAGTGATTGTAGAACCCCACGGAGAGCTGGTGAGGTTTGCCGTGGTTGTGGTGGGGTTTGCCGTGGCTGTGGTGAGGTTTGCCGTGGTTGTGGGTGACTCGGTGCTTTGAGCTGTGGCTGCCCCTGGGAACCACCTGGAGAGCTTCTAACCCAACCAGGCCCTTCCCTGGGACAATTCTGTCACAGCTGGTAAGCTAAGTCCAACACTTTCACGGAAACACAGAAGATCTAAAACGGCACGATGACCGTGAAGAACAGAGCTGGAGGACTCACCTCACTGGTTTCAAGCTGCAGGAGTGGAGGTGGAGACGGCTCAGCTCAGGCACAGGCCTGCAGGCCGTGGAGAAGGCAGCAAGCTCCAGCTGACCCACACGCTTGCGGTCATTGTTTTTTTTTTTTCAGTTGGAATCTCGCTCTGTCACCCCAGTTGGAGTGCAGTGGCACCATCTCGGCTCACTGCAGCCCCCACCTCCTGGGTTCAAGCGATTCTCCCACATCAGCCTCCCGAGCCGCTGGGATTACAGGCGTGCGCCACCACGCCCTGCCCGTGGTGATTGTTTTTTGACAAATGCGCCAATGTAATTGAGAGAGGAAATGAAGGTTGATTTTTGGTTTTCTGAAAAAGTGATGCTAAGAACAGCTGGATATCTGTTTGGAAAACAGTGAATCTTAACTCTTGCTTTACTCTATATAAACCTAAATGTAAAAGCTAAACTAAAAGTTATGGAAAGAAACATGGGGGAGGTCTTTGCAACTCTGGGGTAGGCAAAGATTTCTTAGTGTGGATACATAAGGCACTAGCCATGAAGGAAAACATTAAAATTTGGATTTCACCAAAATTTAAAGCTTCAACCCTTTAGAAGACTTGAGAAAATTAAAGAGCAGTTATGGAAAGGGAGAAAATGCTTCTTTCAGAGGACTTAAAACCATTTTTCAGCCCGACCAGAGTGTGTAAAATTCTCTCATAACTAAGCAAAAAACCCAGTTAGCCAGTGGGAAAGGATCTGCACAGACGTTTCACCAAGATGGACGGAGTGGCCAGTTGGGCACCTGGAAGGACGCCCAGCATCTCCAGTCACAGGAGAAGGCAGATTAAAGCCACGGGGAGCTGGCACTACGGTCCCGCTAGCCTGCTGAAATTCAGAAGCCTGAGTGTGGCACGAGGAGGTGGAACAGCTGGACCTCATCCATTGCTGCGGAGCTGTGAAGCTGTGTAGCCACTCCACAAACACGTGTGGAGAACAGCCGAACCGGGAGAAGGGAAGACGTGTTCAAAGATTCGTGTGTGGCCAGGCTCAGTGGCTCACACCTGTAATCCCAGAACTTTAGGGGCCAAGGCTCAGGGACCGCTTATGCCCAGGAGTCTGAGACCAGCCTGGGCAACATAGGGAGACCCCATCTCAAAAAAAAAGAAAAAAGAAAAAAAAAGACTCCAATGTGCAAGTTTACCAGAGCTTTGTTTACAGTTGCCAGAACTGGGAAGCCGCCCACGTGAGTCCATCCACTGGTGAATGGACAAACCATGGTTCGCAAACCCCAACAGCAGCCGCGGGCATGGGCTGTGGTCACACAGCAGCAGGGAGCCAGTGAGTCTCAGATGTGCTAACCCAGAGGCCAACTGAGGAGGACCTGCTGTTTTTTGTTTTTTGATTTTTGTTTTGAGACAGAGTCTTGCTCTGTGGTGCAGGCTGGAGTGCAGTGGTGTGGTCTTGGCTCACTGCAGCCTCTGCCTCTCGGGTTCAAGCAGTTCTCCTGCCTCAGCCTTCCGAGTAGCTGGGACTACAGGCACCCGCCACCACACCCGGCTAATTTTTGTATTTTTAGTAGAGACGGCATTTCGCCATGTTGGCCAGGCTGGTTTCAAACTCCTGACCTTGTGATCCACTCACCTTGGCCTCCCAAAGTGCTGGGATTACAGGCGTGAGCCACCGCACCCGGCTGGACCTACTGTTTTATTCCGTTTATATGACGCTGTATTAATAGAAAAGGCAGGGGTGGGGCTGGTGGTTATGTGGTGCACTTAACTGCCAGAACTTAGTACGCTTAAAATGGGCATCTTAATGTGTGAAAACTTAAAAGTACCAAAGCTGGACCCCACCCCAGCTTGCTCCCATGACACTCTGTGGTGGGACCTGGGAGTTGGGTGGTTTTTTTTTTTTTTTGGAGATGGAGTCTCACTCTGTTGCCCAGGCTGGAGTGCAGTGGTGCAATCTTGGCTCACTGCAACCTCTGCCTCCCAGATT